TTAATGGGGTATTAAAAAGTTAATGGGGTATTAGAAAGTTCATGGTTAAAGTTTATGGTGTGGTAACCAGTTAATGGGGTATTAAAAAGTTAATGGGGTATTAGAAAGTTCATGGTTAAAGTTTATGGTGTGGTAACCAGTTAATGGGGTATTAAAAAGTTAATGGGGTATTAGAAAGTTCATGGTTAAAGTTTATGGTGTGGTAACCAGTTAATGGGGTATTAAAAAGTTAATGGGGTATTAGAAAGTTCATGGTTAAAGTTTATGGTGTGGTAACCAGTTAATGGTGTATTAAAAAGTTAATGGGCAATTAAAATGTTAATGGGGTATTAAAAAGTTTATGAGGTATTTGAAAGTTAATGGTTAAAGTTAATGGGGTATTAAAAATTTAATGGTTAAAGTTAATAGTGTGTTACAAAGTTAATGGTATTAAAAAGTTAATGGTTAAAGCTATAATGGTCTGTTAAAAAGTTTATTGTTGGTTAAAATGTTAATGGTCTGTTAAAAAGTTAATGGTACGTTAAAAAGTTCATGATTAGTTAGCGTTAATGGTTAGGGTTAATGGTTAACGTTAATGGTTAGGATTAATAATTAGCGTTAATGGACAAGGTTAGGGTTAATGATTGGTGTTAATGGTCGGTTAGGGTTAATGGTTAGGGTTAATAGTTAGGGTTAGGGTTAGGGTTAGCATTAGGGTCGGTGGTTCACTCTGAGTATCAAGTTATCCGAAATTTATGCTCGGTAGGCGGTGTTAAGGTTTGTTGGCCGTGTACCTTTACTCGTTAAACTTCAGTTATTATTGATTCATTATTCATTACAGCTGGAGCTAGTAAGGTGGTCAGCGTCACGAGAAAGTGCTTAGGGTCGTTTTGATTGTCATTGTGCATGGCGACGCAGTGGTTAGCCGGTAATGTAGTCGGTTGCAAGCCAGCGTGCAAGCTATGGGATCTGTCTGTCTGTCTGTCTGTCTGTCTGTTTGTCTGTCCGTCTATCTATCTATATATCTGTCTGTCCATATACATAATATTTATTTATTTATTTATTTATTTATATGCTCCCTGTCTAACCTAGCAGGTCTACCTCTCTCTCGCTCTCTCTCTCTCTCTCTCTCTCTCTCTCTCTCTCTCTCTCTCTCTCTCTCTCTCTCTCCTGTATCTCTTTCTGTCTCTCTCGCTCTCCTTCTCTCTCTCTCTCTCTCCTGTATCTCTTTCCGTCTCTCTCGCTCTCCTTCTCTCTCTCTCTCTCTCTCTCTCTCTCTCTCTCGCCCTCTTTCTCGCTCGTGGGATGGCGCCACAATGTTGTGTATAGAAATATTTAGTGCAATTGAGATTGCTGCTGAAGCTAATAAACTACTGGCCCTATAATTCATATTTTCAGGACTGGGGCAATAAACCATGTAAATGACGATTATGTCAAATAACAAAATTAAAGCCAAAATAATATGGACTGCTAAAAATAAATTGTCGAAAATTAGATGTGGTGATATATTCATGGGCGTGTGCGTGTGTGTGTGCGCGTCCATGTGTGCGTGTGTGCGCCCACCCAGGCGTGCGAGCATGAGTAACAGTAGACCACATGTGATGCGGATTTGCAAGTTAATGCTTTCTAACATTAAAAATTCTAACCGTATTTCTAAAAAACAAAATCTACAGCCCAGCCCCTCCAACTCATGTACATGTATAATATATTATGTATTGCGTAAAATATTAGAACCTAATCCCAGAGCCCTTTTTTTATATTATATATTTTCAAAAGTATATATATATATATATATATATATATATATATATATATATAACTTATATATTTATAAAAGTATATTTTCACGTATAGAAATGTGGAAAATTATTGATGAGAGAAACTTCTCCGGATTACAGCTGTACATGTAGGTCAAATGTTGGGCCATGCGGTAATGTCAAAATACATACAATGTTTGTTACTATATACATTTATACTTGTAAATGAAATCACGATATTTTGTTCTATAACTATCTTTATTAAAGCAAAAACGTCTACAAAATTGCTAACATGCACGCTAATGAAACTGCACATATATTTTGCAACAAACTATATATAACCTGTTACAAAATAATGTTTTCACAACGGAAAGTTACTGAATGTATTCGCGTGGTGTTATTGTTCAATACGATGTGCTATATATTGAGCCGCTATAGATAATAGACTGGTAATTCCAGACTAATTGCAGCAATATTAAATAAATATACGTTGCTCATCCAAAAGCTAATGACGTCACACTCGCGAATGTTGAAATTCTTGGTGAACGAACGTTAGCAATCGACGTTGCGGAATATCTGACTGTCGAAGCCCGCGTTGTTGATGCTTTTGCAGAACGGAATGATTTGCGATAAACGTCTATTTCAGTAGCATATACAAATGTGTGTTGTTGCACACAGATAAAACTGGATATAAAGAGATAAATAAGCACTTGATAAATAAGGTGGCAAAACCAGATAGGTCTCACGGGTGGTAACAAAGCTTACGTATGCTATTATATATTCCCGCCTACATATATGATATAATTCTGGGTGCTACGTCTCCGCTGCTACTAACATGTGTCATGAGCTATAGGTAGACAATTTATGGAATAATGAGCATTGAATAATAGAGCTCATTTACTACGCATGCAGCAAATACAAAATTTCAAATAATAACAGCGGATACTAGGTTAGTATACATTAAACTGTACGCGTTGGCCTACCTACTATATCTATACAGAGTGTCAGAGTGGTTTTACACTGCTGCTCACTATTGCGCATATCTAAAAAAAACATACATACATAATACACAAATCTTTATTATATATGCTGCATCTGTGTAAACTGTTTAAACATATATACATTCTCCAATAAATAATTTTGAGACATCGAGCATTACATTTTAACACATACGCGATAAGTCAAGTTGTCATCAAACGAAGAGTCAGCAATTAAAAGAGTCGTCGTTGTCGTCGCTGTCGTTGTCGTCATCGCTGTCGTTGTCGTCGTCGTCGTCGCTGTCGTCGTCGCTGTCGGCGTCGCTGTCGGCGTCGCTGTCGGCGTTGCCGTCATCATGTGTCGTCATCATATGAGCGGCTGCTGCATATGATAATGAAACTACCGTGTATATCTAAGTTGCATTATTTTATAATAATATCCATTCTAATGTAGGGCATATACGAATTTTATAAAATGTTAAATATTATCTCTAATATTTGATATACTGCTAGGCAGTATCACTAAAATTTTAGGCTTCTTTAAAACTTGAGGGACAAATTAGTGTGACATAACCAACTGTGAAATGTCTAAATTTCGTATATTTCCTATAGAATTCTGTGGTAATGACAATTTTAAAATGGCTTGAATCCAATTTTCGAACAAACAGTAAGTTAATATTATTCTGAAAGCTAGCACTGATGGTAGAAATATACTAGACGTCGAAGTATGGCTTCCTAATTATTTTAAATAAGATGCTGCAGCCATTAAATTAAGATGCTGTTAGCTTGGATAAGTCACAGAAGCCCAATCGATATTACATATAAATTTATAGTGTTGCGTAAATAGGCGCTATACCTTGGTGGTAGTCATACACACAAAAAAACACACAATATTTACACGTTAAACCAGGTTGGAGGTACTGAACTGGCTTTACATATTTTAATACTTGAACAGTTTGTTAATAACCACTTTCCAGAAAAGCGAACAAACTGGCAAATCAGTTTACAACAAAGTTTGCATCATTTTATGCTTTTATACAGCTAGTTCCCGCAAGTTTCCATTCAGTCCTCTCGCGAGTTGTTTACGCAAACTTTGACCGTGTGTCGCAACCTTATTCTAAGCGTAGAAGTCTTGACAATGGAAAATCTGTGTGATGCGTCTCGCATGGCCAACTGCTGCCATCTGCTGTGGCTGCTCATCGCGCTTGTTCACGTTTCCACAATAACCGCCACGTAGATAGGCACCTAGCTCATACGGTCATACCTCTCCTATAAACCCGCACTACAGTTATAATTAACCATATCGTGGCTCACACAACTCGCACTATAGTTACAAATATCCGCCTCGCACCTCGCACACCTCCGTAAGTACGTGAGACCACACTAGCCGAGTCGCGCGTACACTTACTGGCCACGATGACCATCAGTTGCAGTAGTTCTTGTCGACCATTTGCGTGCACTTTCGGCAGCGCACCTCGCAGCACCAGAAGAACTTGCAGTCGCAGTCCTCGGTCACCTGCTCGACCATCGTGTGGTAGCCGCGCCCGCAGCACATCAGCCTGCAGCCGTCGATGCCGTAACTCGTGCGGTTGCACTCTCGGTGGCGCGTGCCCAGCGAGCCGATCGTCGGGTCGTACTCGCAGAAGTCAGGCGACTCTTCGAGGTAGACGAGATCCTTCTTAGTCGGCTGCTTCTGTCCCTTGGTCTTCGGTCGCAGACGCGTGCGTCGCTTGTTAAGGTCGACCAAGGTCGCGCCGTCGAACCGCTGCTTCAGCATGCTCCCGATGCGCCGGAAGTCGGACATCTTGCGCCAACATACCTTGATGGAACAGGAACCGGAAACGCCGTGGCACTTGCAGACGATCTTCATCGTGCTGCGGATGGACTGTGAGCGGAAAGGGATATAGGTCTTATATCCGGTCTTAGGTATATATATTAGAGCATTATAATTAATAAGTAATCTATATAATAATTCGAGATAATGTAATTTCGAAATTTTTATATATGTGAAATTGTATTTTTTTTAATTACTATATCAAAAAATAAATTTTTATAAAAGCAAGATTTCTAGTTCTTGCCAACAAAAATTAACACAAAATATGTGAGAGGTCGGACCGAAGTGAAGGCGGTTCGTCGTAGCGTTTACCCTTCGTCCAGCCTCGTTGTTGTGTAGGTTCATCATGCCATCTCGTGCACGGGAATTCTCCTTCGAGTCAGTGAACTCTTTACTGAACTTCTCTCCGTATCGGATGTCCTGTGAGCAACCTCCCCACTCCCACTTGTCCTTGGTGGGCAGCGACCGGACGCTGTCGTCGCATCCACATTCGTTTATATCTCCCTGTGCCGACGACAAGTAACATAAAGTGACATCGAGGAAGGCATTTGACGTTAGAGATGTCACAAGGCAATTGAAGTGAGAAAGAGAGAGAGGGGTTGTTGGATATATACAGCGAGAGAGAAGATAGGGCATATTAAATGAGAGAAATATAAATATGGTGGTATTTTTCGTGAAAGAAGATTTGAAGATTAGGCGTTTGAAAAGAGAGAACGTTGGGTAATTTAAGTTAGAGGAAAAATAGAACATGTGAAAATACGGTTGTATTTAATGTGTGAGGGAAGACTTGAAGTAGGAGGAAGAATTAGGCATTTAAAATGGGAGAAAAGATTGAACATGTGAAATAATATGACAAGATGTTAGAAGTAGTGTGGCACTGGTAGGGGGGGGGGGAGGAAAAATATGTGTTCGAAGATTATCAGCCTGGCGTCTGCATCTCGTGGTTGTGCTGGGATTTCCGACTATCTTACGTGAGAACATCCGATAAATTACAAACAACAGTCCGGATTTATTCGGACAGGACCTACGAAACAGGACCCGCTTCCTCCCCCACGCTTCTTTCAATTCAATTGAGACCCGAGCAACTATATTAGTCAGTTACTTAACGAAATCTTTCGAGCTCATATTTTCCTTATTATTTATATTCAATTATTTCGGGACCGATTGTAGCCAAACCGACTGGGCCTAGTCTTTACCTTTGCACACGCCTTAGTAATCTCGTGTTCTACGCCGCCTGAAGATATGGCGTAGATATAAGACTTTTCCCGGCTATCTGTAGAGGAAAACTGTCAATTAGAGGCACCACAATAGGTATGACGAATAGGAGCTAAAGCTGCTGGTCTGAATATTTTACGTGTCGCAGACGAGTCACTGATTTACTAGACAAGCGTTTGATCATTATTTAATAATAAATACGCATTGAAATGTGAATGTAATATAAGAATCACGATTATCGTATGAAATAAATTTGTTTATTGCTTTTTTTCCCATTCGCATTACTGAACGGTTGATTTACGCACTGATGTTGAGTACTCCTCCGAAGACACTTGTCTCGTTAAACGTCGTGCAATTCCACCTGCGCGTCTGGAACTGATACTTGCACTCATCTATACCTGCAAATAAATAGAGAAAAATATTCTGTTGTCAGATTTCTAGATGAATTGATTTTTCCGTTCCCGTGGAATAGACAATATATATGTTGACATCAATTTCTGTTATTTGATTGTCTATACATAGCTTTACCGTGTGCGTAAAATCCATTATAAATATTATTTCGTGATCAAACTCATTCTCTTGTATACGGCATACCGTACGACACGAATTATGTAGGCCTAATTATCTATCGAATCAATGCCTAATTTGCCCAATAATAAATACTACGCAAACTGCCGGAGCAGTGTCTAGCTAGAGAACAGGTCGCGTTCTGCGTTCCTTTTGAATAAATATATGAATAAATACACGCATACGCACGCATGCACGCACAAACACGCACAAACACACACACACACTCACACACACACACACACACACACACACACACACAACACACACACACACACAACACACACACACACACACACACACACAGCGACACGCACATTACGCACACCCACGCCACCACACACATGACACACACACAGCACAGCACACACACACACACACACACACACACATATATTATTAGCTCTTGATATATATATATATGCTGCCATTACATACCCATGGCGGCTCCCTTGCTCACAGCGGCCAAAATGTTATGGCTTATGCCGCATAGGTCCTTCTGCTTCTGAATCAGGTAGTTCAACTGCTGGCATTTCTCTTTGAAATTGTACGTCTTTAGATCGACAGTACTCTGGTAGACACTGGACGTGCCTAGAAACCTAAAACAATCGGTCCAGTTATAGTAATATAAGCTCAATGACTATTTAGGTTAGGCCTGCACGCATATTCAAACCATATAAATGTCTGTAAAGAAATTTCTGTGGCTCAATCAGTATGTGTAGTAATGATTCAACGCTTCACTCAAAACATGTTCAATAGCAATGTTTTCGGCATATCATCATGTACGTTTGTATAAACATCATAAACTATTAATCCGATCGTTAATCTAAATGAAATATATGAGGCCAGGTTCTTTCAATAAAAACTATTTATCCAACGCTAATCGATAATGAATATACCATCTGAAAAGAATAAACATATATAAACACATATAGACATTAGCAGTATACAAATGTAGGTATACAGCACCACGTAACGATGACGGTCATTGTGTTGCGTCTCGAAACACGCGAAAACTACGTATATAATATATATATATATATTATAGAGATATAGATATTTATTTATATATATTATATACGGTTCTATATCCCGAATAGCATTGTCTGACTCCCCTGAGATACTAGGAAAAAGGAGTGCCTCTATCGTTGCTGATGAACGTAATGAAAAAAACTAACATGACTCCTAACATGGAAGCAAACGATCAAAAGTCCGCGGGTTATAAAGGCCATAAAAGCGTGCTGGGTTGGGTTTTTTCAGTCATCCATCGTTTTTCATACCCGTTAAAAAGGCGTGTGGAATTAACTTTGTACTAATATTTGAAGAGTAGCAGTTACATGATGATTTGTGAAATGAAAATATAAATAGCTCATTAAAAAAACATTTAAGCACATAAAATACCTACATTTGTATATCAACGTGATAATGCGTTTGTGCATGTATATACCCAACGGCTTTGTTGCAGTGTGTGCATGACCGTGAGCAGAATTGAAACCGATGGTGTTTTTATACGGCTTGCATTTACATGGTCTGTGAGAAATCAAGTTAATTGCGTGTGCTTGTGTTGATTGTGTTGCTTGTGCGTGTGCTTGTGTTGTTGTGTTGATTGAGATAATTGAGTGAAAAATCCTTAGTATCACACAGGGAGAAGGACGACGGGCGGGGTAGAGGGAGCGCACGAATGAGCAAAAGAAATAGATTAGGAAAGAAAGAGAGACTGTGAGAGAGAGAGAGAGAGAGAGAGAGAGAGAGAGAGAAGAGCGACCCGACCGACCGACCGTACAACGCGACCGACCGACCGACCTTTCGACGGCGACGCGTACGCGCCACCGAGCCGCGACGACCGACTGACCGACCGACCGGCCGGCCGACCGACGCGACCGACGACCGCCGACCGGACCGACACCGACCGACCGACCGACCGACCGACCACCGACCGACGCCGACGCCGACCGACCGACCGACCGACCGACGACGACCGACCGACCCGACCGCCGACGACGACCGACCGACCGACCGACAGGCAGACAGACAGAGAAACGGACAGACGCGCGCGCACGCTCACACACACACACACACACACACACACACACACACACACACACACACACACACACACACACACACACCACACCACACAACACCACACACTCGTGCACAGAGAGAGAGAGAGAGAGAGAGAGAGAGAGAGAGAGAGAGAGAGAGAGAGAGAGAGAGAGAGAGAGAGAGAGAGAGAGACTGAGAGCGAGAGCGCGGGGAGAGAGATAAACCGACACTCGCGTGCACGACGCACTGGCCGGGAGGGACAAAGAGATATGGGAGAAAGCGGGAGAAAGAGAGGTAGGGGTGATTTACGTAAAATTAAAACTACATTAAATGCTCACGTAGGTGTGTGTGTGCGGTGCATGTGAATATATTTAGCCGTCTTTACAGAGCGTGCATTGTGCTCGCGGAATCAGCAAAGATTAATAAAGAACGGCAGTGCCAGCGGTTCAGTGATTCCCACTCCGACTACTGCTCCGAGTGAAAGTTGTTCGAAAGATTTGAAAGATTTTTCCTTGTTGGTGAACTCGATAAAGATATAATGCAATAAACCTTATATTCGCGTGATCCTATTATACTGAGAACAAACGGTTATTTAACTTAATCATATTGATCATTATCATTATTCTCATAATTACCATCTCATCATCATCGTTATTTTCATCATATTAACCGCCAAAGACGTCGTCGCCATCGTCTACAGTTAAACAACTGAAAATGATCATAAACAGAAGTAAAAGCTACACACTCACTATAATGTCTCTGGTTTTGAGAAACACAGTAGTACACACAAAGCCTTTGATTACTTGCATGTCCTTATACATTGTAAGGTGACACTTATCAAGTTAATTGTCACGATAAGGGTGGCCGCATCTTTTTCTGTTTGCCAATTCAGCACGATGTTGCATGTCTTTTTTCAACATCGCAAAAGCATCTTTGTGGGTTAGCAAACACTCTGTCCGTAAGTCTATGAGAGTTTGTATAAGTTTTCGAAAACCCCAACACATGATCCAGCTGAGGTGGTGGATGCGATCATTTATATTGTCAGCCCGACTTTGGTTGATTTAGATGATGTTGAATTAATATATAGTTTACAGCTAAAATAGATTGTTTATATTAGCTATTCGTCCATCAGAAGAACTCGTAACTTATATCTTGTCTCCTATCTCTTGTCTTGTCGTATCTTTTCGCGCGATCTTTTCGCAATTGTAAGCACAAATCTGCAAAACAGCATTTCTGCTATTTAAAATCGAATTTTTATTACAATACTCGTCTTAACTGTTGACAATATTCGACGTTAATTTCGGTCGGTAAAAATGACAGTGCGTATACGTGCGCAATTCGCCGTACGTGATGTGCCGACGTATTGAAGGCATTTAACCTCAAGTAGCTGGCAATGAGCGCAAGCGCAACAACCTTCGTGTAACCATTCTCCGCGCGTTTAGAAAAGGTGCCGGTAATTAGCTAGATTATTCCCCCTATTCACTGGACCAGCCTATTCAACGCATGAACGACGACACTCCTCTGCCGATTATGACTGCTGCCACAGACTAACGGAAACCTGTATCACCTGCCCGCACCACGACGAGGTCTGTGCGCGCAATTGCCTCAACAGGAGCAAATACGAATCAACCACAGGGAGTGAAGAGACATTTGTTGAGTGGGCGCGGGAAATAGCATTGTAAGGCAGGCGAGACAACAATGCGCGGCCCACCGAATTAGATTAGAACACGTGACGACGTGAATCATGGTAGATAATATAATTTAGAAGGATGCTTCATGCACTCACTATGGCCGGCCATCAATATGTGGCCGGGAGTGAGGGAAGTGGACATGGGTAAAACTACAATACTGAGCTAACCGAATCGTTGTGATACTTGAAAAATCGAAATACCGCGGAGTTCCCCGAAAGTGTTTGCTGACCTGAACAAATTATTCAATCGCGGTTTTCGGGTGCTTATCGCTTGCTTGATTTATGTGAGTAATGAACCATTTTCTACAATATACAAAATTATAAACGAACTTAATCCTATCTCTACCTATGATTGTTCTAAATGTAAACACAGCTTAATGTTATGATTAAATTAAATTTACGGTTTCGTAACAACAGTAGGTATCGCATAACCGAATTTTGCACCGCCATTCGGTTCGTAATGAGAAGATCATAAATGTATTCAGCACTCGTTAAAAAAACATCTTCTCCTTACATCCTATCATCCCATCTAAACAGTCACATCTTCTGGATATTTCTTACTCATTCGTTTCTGCACATTTGGCGTCCTTTTACCTCATTTAAAAGTTTTAATGAGTTTTGCCTATGTACTCTTTTATGCTAAAGGCATAGTACCGCACGTTTGGGATTCGAGCTATATTTTCCGTTCCAAGTAATTTCCTTCCCATTTCTCCCAGCGTTTTCTTGATCAAAATATCGTTACTATTTTCGATTTAAATCTTTAGGAATCTGCATGCTATAATATTCTTAAAGACTGCAAAAATTCAGCACAGAGTCAACAATTAGTTCAAGCTTTCACATCTATCCCTAAACGCATGTGTATACGAACACATATACGCACACGACGTAACATATATCTATATTAGTATACATGAATTTAATCTGACCACGAATGGCTCAAAGCATACTTAGTAACCATTATATCAGGAGTAAATATGAACAAATATTCCCTCGCGCTGATCACAACATGTAATACACGATGTGTTTTCATAGCAGAGCGATCATGAAACGTAGCGACACCAGACACACGCGTGGTTCCTAGTTTGGCTGCACGGGCTCGCGCGTCGTCTTCTGACGCTGCTATATCCACCAAACACTCTGTACATATTGACTTGAGATTAAACCGACGCTCTGCATTTGTACAGGTGCCTGTTATATACGGCGGCGGCGGCTCCGGGATTCCGTTTGCTAGCATTTTTTGTTGACAACGAGCCTGTAGGCAAATTAGCACATGCTATGGAAACAGGTTTCCCGCTTTTTTGAGCCTTCGCGCCGATGAGCTTTTGATTTGACTCGATACACAAGTCTCTGGGCGAAAACTGCGAAACGCCTATTGATGCGCGGTCCGCGGCTGTCGGCGAGAAATGCGTTACCATCGCGGGAACAGTTTTCCTGTTTCTAATGACAATTTGAATGCGTATCTGTGTACATTTAAGCTGCCACACCATAGCCCGTCGGCGTGCGCTCCGTGCGCATGCGCACGATTATTGCGCAGATGTGAGCTGTTTCTGTAATGTACGGCTGTACGTGTCGTATTGTTATGCACGTATTGCCATATGTGTACTGACATGAATGCACTGATTATATTACGCATCAAACCATGTATAATATATCAAGAGTCCATAATAGAAATTTTTTCTATTATGGACTCTTGATAATATCAAGAGCTAATAATACCTAGAGTGTACAACGGAAAAACGGGAAAATAGTGCTATTTCACGACATGGTTATTCTACTTTGCTTGCAAGTCTTGGTTGCCTGCGAGAGTGGAGGTTGCTGAATAAGCTGAATGCGAGGAGGCGTGAGGCATGTGAGAGGGGCGGT